AGACCAGCCCATATGACTTGAATTTTCCACAAGAAAAATTAACTGTAGTTCATTCTCTTGGCAATAATGTGAGACTGAATTTCTTCAGAAAGACTGTGGAATACCGCACAGAAACAGGGCCCTGGGAAAGACAGTGTGGCTGCTGAATTCAAGACCATTTATCTTAGTAATTCTGGAGAGATGGCTCAGCCATTAAAGGTTAGGTTCACAACCAAAAATATCTTTACTAATTCGACATCTCCATATCCACACAGCAAAGGAACTCCTTTTCACTCTGTTTTCCCCTGAAAGTTGACTTTTTATAAGAGGAAAATAGACTAGTGTTGGTAAAAGAATTTTTAAACCACATCAGAATGTCTGTGTTCAGCATTGGTGGTTGGGCAGGCTACTGGCAAGAAAATGAAAACACACTAAATAAAATAACCTTACCTAAATACCGCTGGCTGGAGAGGACACAGACCCAAAAGGAAAATCTTCTACTGCAATTTTCCTAAACCAAGATACTTTCTGGCTGTACTCTAAACACTGATCCTTGTACCTACGGATAAGTAGAGCTCTTAGCCCTCATCAAAGAGGCTTCTTTTTGGAGCAGATGGAGACGATTACAGAGATCCACAGCTAGTCAAAATGGAGAGAATGAGTGACCCCAACAGACATATGTACAGAAGAGGGGTGACAGGATTGAAGGAACCAGAGGAACAAGCTGCTTGCTCTCAGACAGTGACGTCTAGACATCACAGGAGGCTGCAACTATGGAGTGTTAAGAATATGATTGCCAAAAAGAAGACCTACATAATGACAAGACCAGTTGACATGTCAATATGGCTGGGAGAAATCTCACAAGATCTCACTCTAGATGAAGAAGACTGAAAGATGAAGAATCCATTTTCTCCAGAGATGAGTTCTCTAATAGGTTATCCAATCTCAAATGGTCAGCCTTTAAACATGTCTACATAGCAAAAGAACTTTGCCGTGTGTGAGCCAATAATGTGAGCAAAGTACACATGGGAACACTTAATAAACTCAGGAGAGAGAGAGAGAGAGATTAATATTAAAGAAGGTGTCAAATTTGAGAGGGAGTCAGTGAGGCAGGGACATCGGGAGTTAGAGCAGAAAGAAAGAGGGGTGGAAATGACGTAAACAGAGAGTACTTAGGTATAAAATGCTAAAAAAAAAAATTATTAAAAGCATTTAAAATTCTGTTTCAAGACACCAGAGGGCAACATGGAAGTAAAGACTTCATTCAAAAGCCAAGGTCGAAGAAGGAAGCAGTGCCAGCAGTCCAGCCTGCCCTCAGAGGCCCTGCGCTTCCTCTGGAGGCATTTCCTGGTATTGAAACAGCAGACAGGCTGAGAACCAGCACAGAGCTGAGGGACAGAAGTCAGCATGTGAGGGGTGTCGAGGAAGAGAGGTCCTGCTAAGACCACCTGGCTGAAAGTCGAGACCTTTAAAGAAGGTAGAGACCCGCGTGGTCCTGCCTCAACTGAATGTACTAGGCTTAGCTGTCCCCCAACCGGAGAACTTACCTTTTTGGAGGAGGGGTGAGGGATGGGTCTGGGAGGGCAGGCTGGGGGGGCAGTGGGAGGAGGGATAAGAGGGGGATCTGTGGTTGGTATGTAAAAATGAATGAAAAAATATTTTTTTTAAAAAAAACCCTATAGATCTCTCTGGTATAAAACAGAAGGGCCTTTGGGAGGCTACCATTGCATAAGTTCAGTTGCCTGTTCAGTGTTCATATTAAACTGTTCTGTTTTTACATTAAAACTAAAGGAAACCTGCTCTCTTGGAAGAGGCAGCATTCAAAGCTTTGTGTTTTAAAAATCTCTATAGGCTGGGTGGTGGTGGAGCACGCCTTTAATCCCAGCACTCGGGAGGCAGAGGCAGGCGGATCTCTGTGAGTTCGAGGCCAGCCTGGTCTACAGAGCGAGATCCAGGAAAGGCGCAAAGCTACACAGAGAAACCCTGTCTCGGAAATAAATAAATAAATAAATAAATAAATAAATAAATAAAAATCTCTATATATAGTGTTTGGCATTGGTGAATAAAACTTCATAGAAGGTAAGCTAGGACAAAGGGATTCACAGGGACTTCAGTCATTGGAGTTTTAAGACAACATTGGGGGGAAATGTCTAAGTTTGATTAGAAGCCCAAGGATTCTGCTGGGTTGGCTGTGAGGTAAAATAAAATCATTTCCTGAGAAAGAGAAACGGAAAGCTTACCTGAAAGTGCTAGAGCTTGCTCTGTTAGGAAGACAGATGTTAAAGTTTTAAGAGTTGAGATAAGATGGAGAAGAACTGAACTCTGAGAGCTTTCTTTTTCACATTATGTCAGAATTATGTGGATTTTTTATATAAAATGTATATATGCAGGTATATATGACTTTTCTAAGACAGAAAAATATTGATTTTATTTCAAAATCCTGCATCATTTATCTTTTTTTTATTTAAATTCAATATGAAATGCAGATCCCACCTGGATTTGACTGTTCAATTTTCCATAAGCATCACAGAACAGATCTTTTACTCACAAAACACAACCACCTTGACTCTAATGGACTAATTATCACCCAATCAATGGCTCTGACTTCATTCATTAGCTACTATTAGAGCCACCACTAGACCAGGAATAAATTCCCATCATTGCAATTCAATCAATTAGAACTTGACCTAAGTGCACAAAAACAATATTAGGATTTTCTTAACTCTCAAGAAAAAAAGCCAATAGATTGGCTAATAATGCAAAATTTATTTCAACTTGATAAAATGTAAGAATATCTGTGAGTTAAAGAGCATAATGGAGAATCCTAGTTATGTCAGCCATACCAACAAATGTGAACACTATTCAAGGTAAAATCTATGTTATAAAGTCATTGAGAGCTTGCACGGTGGCGAGTCAGTCTTCTATGAAACAGGAATACTTCATCTACAAATGAAATTTATCAACTGCATTTTCATTCTTATTTTTTTTTTCCTGGAGCTGAATTAAATTTCGTCCCAAATTGTCTCACAGAAGCTTTGTGCAAAGGGAAGAAGAGACTCTTGATCACATTAACTCAAATGAAGAGAGGTGGTAGGTAAACCAAAGAACTACTGCTAAGAGGTACTTCCAGAGGTGGTAGGTAAACCGAAAGAACTATTGGTAAGAGGTAGTTCCAGAGGTGGTAGGTAAACCGAAAGAACTATTGGTAAGAGGTAGCTTCCATGTGGGATTCTTATCTGCAACTATTTATAATGAAAGAACATGAGATTTCTATCTAATAGACCATAATTAGCAGAGAAATATGCAAGATCTCCTTAGAGAGCTCTCATGGCTCCAGAGCCAGTAGGATCTTACTATAAATCTATTACTGTACCTAGACAAAGACCGTATCACAAAAATATTCAGTTAAAGTGGTGTTATTAAAGGGACCATTATAAATAAACGCTGGTGAACCCCAGAGAAATCTTGTCTGGGCACATGGGAACAAGATGAGTTTAGAATAAGCTACATCCTTGTAGTGGAATTGGTGTAACCTAAGATTTCTTAGCAACACAGAACAGCTTCAAATTTGTTCCAAAGCTCAGGGAGGTTAAGTACATCAGTCTAGATTAGCTTACTTTGAGTGGCAGAGTCAGGATTCACAACTGTGAGACTGTCAACAAACTGCCACCAGAAGATTACTCATACATGTGCACATTCTTATTATTAAAATGATCAAAAAGTCACGGTTTTAAAGTCTGCTTACTGGTCTTGGTTTATCTGGACTGTTACAGAGTGATCAATCGTAAGCCTTATAATGCCATAGACATTTATTTTTCATGGTTCTAGAGGTTGGGACATGACCAGAACACCAGCAGATTGTTTCTGAGGGTGGCATTATTCTATAAACATAGCCCTTTCACTGACTCCTTTGCCTGGAGGAAGGAGTGAGCACTCACTTTGGGCTTCCTTCATAAGGCCACTGATTCCACCCATAGAGGCTCCCTTAGAACCCATCTCTTCACAGAGGCGCTTCCTCTGGACCACTATCTTGTGAGTTATGGTTTCAATATATGAATTAGAGAGCAACACAAACATTTAAGACCATTGTAGGAGTCAGGAATTAGTGTTCCTCTTTCAACAGTCAAAGCCAACCCCCTTTGGATACCTTTCTTCTCAGAGTCCACTCATTGTTATAGTTGCTCATTCATTCAGCAAAGACTTATAGCATTTTTGACAGGATCCAGGCACTCAGTCCTCTGGCTTTCCCTTACCAGTTATCTCTACAACATTCTTTTACCCAGACCCTTAGATCAGCTACTTGCCATTTTTATTATATACCTACTTCATATTTCTATCTTCACTTGTCATTCTTTGTTGAGTGCCCTGATGAACACAGCAGAGGACCCCCCAGAGCCCACCCATAACTCTCCTGAGTAGGCAGGGACAAGGGACGACTATGGAAGCCAAGGGCTGGTTTGACCCATAACTGCTCTTCCAGGTTTGGGGGCATCCTCTCCTCTCCCATTTTCAAACATTTTCTTTGAGTGACGAGCCATGAGCAAACCCCTCACCTTGGCAACCAGGGGCCAAAGCATACTATGCTTTACTCTGCAACAGGGACCTTTTTACTGCAGAGAGTACGTGAAAGATGATCATTTGAAGAATACTGACTTTCATGAGTTTGTGAATCAGAAGAGAGAACACCATTTTAAGTATTTTCTCATAAAAATAACCTCATACATATTACTATTTAGCTAAAATATAAATGTGATTTTTGAAAATTCTACTTTTTTGAACATAAATGTTTGGGAAGGTAAATAGATATCACAGTGCTTTTCTTTTTAATTACTTATTTGTATGTCTTACCAAATACTATCTACCTCTCTCTCTTCAACGCTCTTTGCAAGATTAATTTTAAGAAAATATATCAATTCACATAATCCTTTTATTATGAACATTTTGGGAGATTTTCCTTTCTAATATTTTTTGGTGACACAGAGCAAACATTTCTGTTGTTTTACCCTCTAGGCCCAACTCACCTGTCAAATAGTTCTCCTCCTGTGACGAGCTCAAGGACCAGACTGATTTCCATGGGGGTTTCAAATATTTCCTTAAGTTTTATCTGAGGGAAGATGCACATTAAGAATGAACATCAACAACTGCTCTTCCCCATCTTCCTTGAAGATGTCTAAAACTATGGACAAAGCAATGGCTTGCAATACCAGTGTGCTGGCTCAGGTCAGTGAAAGCCCCCCATTCTAGCATTAGATAAACACTGATTAGGCCCCTCTCCTTCTCAGTTGCTGGCTTTGTCAGATACCTTGATTTATTTTTCAAAAGTCCCATTAAGTTTTGACATTTTTTTTTTCATTTTGAAATAACTCCTTTAAAAACACTTCTAAAATTTACTCCAATGTTGCAATGCATTTTTTTTCTAGAATCAAAAACAAGGCTTAACTTTACAAAACTGTTTGAAAGCATCATGGATGCTAGATATAAGCAATGCTTTCTCTTGGAAACAACAGATTTGGACTTAGCGTATAAGGCAGGACAGGCTGGGTAAGGTCTGTGTGTAAAAGCGCTCTTCAGCAGTTAGAGCCACTTGTCTGTGATGGGTCCTTGGAAAGAGTGATGGTAGAGATTTGATTGGTGACAGCAGGGTTTCATTGCATTCAGATAATCCAACCAAATGTGGGCATTTCTCCAGACATCAGGAAATCTGGAAGCCAGCACTGATCTGCATGTGATGAATGCTGCATACTGACTTCCTTAGAAAGAAGAGGCATGGATAACATGGAAGTGATGATTGACTATGGCACACCTGAAAACTGCCCACTCAAAGCATCCCCATGCTTCACTGCATACTGAACTCTGGTGTCTGGTCCAACACTGTGGATGACAGTGGCCTAAGCCACTTGGGACAACCCTGTTCTCTGAAATGCGAGTCATTATTTAGTTGGGGAGCATCTGTAGTTTGCTCTGAGCAGCAACGTTACAGAGCACTCTGCTACAGTAGCTTCTGAGAACCTTTTCTTTTCTGACTCTCTGCTGACGAGGCCCTTCCAATTTCTCCCTTCAATATCAACCTGTGCGTTTATAAAAACAAGGAGCTGTCATTATGGGGCCATGAAGACAAAGTACAGGGTGAGAGGTCAACACACCAAGGAATGGAAAATGGCAGACGCAGGGATGTGTGAAGCCTGGGTCCTGGGTCACCACCTACAGTCCACCTTCTTGTTCATTTTAAGAAAAGTATTGGATGCACCTTTAACTCCTGTATCAAGTTGTATACACTTTGCTTTTAGCAGGTCATCACCCCAGGCACAACTTTACTCTAATACAAATAGGTTAAAATAAAATAGGTAGATGGCTTAATTTGTAAAATCAAGTTGCTGCTGCAAAAATGATTTTGTTCTTTTTCACTTCATTGATTCCAAAAAGCTTTTCACTAGGCCTTTTTCTCAGAGGCGTCATCTGGACACAGACTACTGCAGAGTGTCTGGAAACTGTTTAGTCTCCCCATTCATGTACATCATTATTTGCATCTTTGAATTATTTCCGAAGCAGATACTCTCTCAAAGGCTGAAATGACTTTGGAAAGCAATGCCTTTTTTTCCACAGGCCTTATCTGCAATGGCATATTAAAGAGATAGGCAAACAAAAGAGGAAGAAAGCCAGTGTTTTATTAGAGCAAAATAAGGTTCTCCATTTTTTCTCCTTTTATGCATGAAAAGAGGCATCGTATGTATTATTATTAGTCTATCTATTCTGAAACTGATTGCATGTGGTGAGGTAAGGCTTGAGCTGGGCCATACCGTCTGACAGCGAGGAAGACCCCTCCTCCCCATCAACACAGACAGTGGAGGATGATGATCCCATTCTACAGCTTTAGAAATGACTTGAAATAGTAAGCTAAAAGCCACTTACGATGTTCGGGTGTGAGAGGCGCAGAAGGACTCCTATCTCAGTTCTTACAATCTTTTTGTCCACCTAGAAGGTAAAAAAAAAAAAGAGTCATAAACAGAAAAGGACTCCAACGTAGAAAAATTTTGACTGTGCCAGAGATGAGACACATCATTAGCCAACTGGGTAAATAAAATGACTGGAAAGGTGTGCTGTTTCTGCCTCTGTCTGTCTCTTCTTTCAGTGTGTGTCTCTGTCTCTGTCTCTGTCTGTCTGTCTCTCTCTCCCTCTTTACATACACACACACACACACACACACACACACACACACACACACACACGTCTCATTATGCAGCTCAGGGTGGTCTGGAACTCTTGATCCTTCATCCTCTCTGGTGCTGGGGTTAAAGGTGCATGCCATCATACCTGATGCTGGGCTCTTTTCTGATCTTCTTCCCTTCCTTTTCAGCTGGATGCCCTACCTCTCTGAGGCTTCAGAGACAAAGATGAGATCCAGTAACTAATGGAGCACACAATCTACAATTGTTTTGCATGTTATCTGCCCCTTTTCCTGTCAAAAATCATCATAACCACCATTAACAGTAACACAAGTTAATCTCAACCTGTCCCTACACTTTTTCCTTTCACTTACAGAAGTCTCACCCAACCTCATAGAACTGTCAATCACTTCAGTGACCTTCTTCACATAGAGATGTCCCATAATTCAGCCTAGCCCACACGTACTATCTTGTGGAGGGGCGAAGGAATCAAGGGTTTCTGCCAGAACCACGTCATCCACAATGTCCTCTCCAGAAATTGTGCTCAAATAACCAAGAGAATTCCCTTTATATTTGAAATTATGAGAGCAAAAAAGAACAGACTCCACAGCCACCATGTCCAATTGTTATACTGTATATCACCATAGGGAAAAAATAACTGAGATATGAGAAGAACTGCCGATATCACCTAGTTCCTGTATTGTTACGTATGGATTCATTTAGTCTTTGAGCCTTATAATCACATGAGATACTCAATTTTCTTTCGTCTTGTAATCCAGTGTTAGTTTCTACTGGTGGTGATTAAGAGACCCTAATACAGCGATTCTCAATCTATGGATTGTGACCCTCTTGGGGGTCACATTGCAGATATCCTGTATATCAGATATTATATTAATTCATAACCATAGCAAAATTACAATTATGAAGTAGCAAAGAAAATAACTATTTGGTTGTGGGTAACCACAACATGAGGAGCTTTATTAAAGGGTCACAGCATTAGGAAGGTTAAGAACCACTGTACAGGTTCATCACATGACATTTTGAGGACAATGTCCATTGAATTTCTCATCTGCAAAATAAGAGATGCTCCCCATCTGAATGCTCAGGATTAGACAACAAATGACAGTTTGGACTCTCTAAAAATCATATGTAAACAGAAAAATTTAAGTGCAGTCTATGGTGCACATTTATAACCCAGCCCTAGGGAGGCAGAGACAAATGGATCTTTGGGGCTCTAGGCCAGTTAGCTGAGTCTCCTTGGTAGTTCAGGCCAGTCAAAGACTCTTTAAAAAAAAAAAGTGGGTGACAGCAGAGGCAGGACACCTTAAATTGTCCTCTTGCCTCTACACAGTCATACACACATGTGTATCCCACCCCCATATCAACATCATTGTACCATTGATCTTGTGCCCATGCTACCATTTCTGTCATTTGAGATGTCTCAAGATCCAGGAGGGTACACATTTTTACATGTGAGTGTGAAGAGATCTATGCTCCATTCAGAGTCAAACCATGAGCAAATCCAAGAAACTGTTTTCAAAAGAATAGCCTCTACACTCCAAGTCATTATTCAGAGCAGTAAAGGGTGGGTTTGAGGAGAAATCCAATTCCATGTCAGTGTGGTTAACACATCATGACTCAAAACAAAGAACAATGTTTATTTGATAAATTTTTTCCTCAATAAAAATATTAACCAACCATGATGAATTCTTTGAAAACAAAGAATATTCAGAGGACTCTTACAAAATTTATACACTATTTTCCTCGGTTGCAACATATAATATGCATATAATATATCATATTTATTTATAGTTTTTCCTGGCAAAAATAATTTGTCAAACTCTATAGTTCTTTGATTAAAGAGATCAGTCACTATGTATAAACACCTTCAATTTTTATGATGAAGAAACATGTTTATAAAGAAATTTTAAAGGACTCTTCCATATCTAGAGATCACCATGCCAAGTGAAATAAGCCAACTTCACAAGAAAAAACATTGTGTTTTCTCTCAGCTACAGGATACACATACACACACACACACACACACACACACACACACACACACACACACGGGGGGGGGGGAGCACGCTCAAATGGCATGAAAGAAGAAGGGGGTCTATATTTGAGACAAAGAAAGAGACCGAGGTAGTGGGAGGGAGCAAAAAAGGACAAGAACTTAAGCAAAACTTGATGATACACATAACGAAACCCACTATTTTCACACCAATAAAAAATGTAAAAATAGAGTTGGGGATTTAGCCCAGTGGTTGAGTGCTAGCCTAGCAAGTGCAAGGCCCTGGGTTCGGTCCTCAGCTCTGAAAAAAAAAAAGTAAAAATATTCAAATTAAATGGAGAGAAACTCAAAGCGATTCCATTAAAATCAGGAACAAGGCAAGGCTATCCGCTCTCTCCATATTTATTCATTCAATATAATACTTGAAGTTCTAGCCAGAGCAATAAGACAACATAAGGAGATCAAGGGGATACAAATTGGAAAGGAAGAAGTCAAGCTTTCGCTATTTGCAGATGACATGTAGTACACATGAGTGACCCCAAAAATTCAACCAAGGAACTCATACAGCTTATAAACACCTTCAGCAATGTAGCAGGATACAAAATTAACTCAAAAAAATCAGTAGCCCTCCTGTATACAATTGACAAACAGGCTGAGAAGGAAATCAGAGATATATCACCCTTTACAATAGCTACAAATGATATAAAATACCTTGGGGTAACTCTAACTAAGCAAGTGAAGGACCTATATGACAAGAACTTTAAGTCCCTGAAAAAAGAAATTGTAGAAGATGTCAGAAAATGGAAAGATCTCCCATGCTCATGGATAGGCAGGATTAACATAGTAAAAATGGCAATCTTACCAAAAGCAATCTACAGATTCAATGCAATCCCCATCAAAATACCAACACAATTCTTTATAGGCCTGGAAAGAACAATACTCAACTTCATATGGAAAAACAAAAAACCCAGGATAGCCAAAAGAATCCTGTATAATAAAACAACCTCTGGAGGCATCATGATCCCTGACCTCAAGTTCTACTATAGAGCTACAGTAATAAAAACAGCTTGGTACTGGCATAAAAACTGACATGTGGACCAATGGAATCAAATTGAAGACCCTGATATTAATCTGCACACCTATGAACATATAATTTTTGACAAAGAAGCCAAAACTGTACAATGGAAAAACGAAAGCATCTTCAACAAATGGTGCTGGCATAACTGAATGTCAACATGTAGAAGGCTGCAAATAGATCCGTATCTGTCATCGTGCACAAAACTTAAGTCCAAATGGATCAAAGACCTCAACATAAATCCAGTTACTCTGAACCTGATAGAAGAGAAAGTAGGAAGTAGTCTTGAATGCATTGGCACAGGAGATCACTTCCTAAATATAACACCAGTAGCACAGACACTGAGAGAAACAATCCATCAATGGGACCTCTTGAAACTGAGAAGTTTTTGTAGAGCAAAGGACACAGTCAACAAGACAAAGCAACAGCCTACAGAATGGGAAAAGATCTTCACCAACCCCACATATGACAGAGGGCTGATATTCAGAATATATAAAGAACTCAAGAAATTAGACATCAAAATGCCCAACAGTCCAATTAAGAAATGGGTTATAGAGCTAAACAGAGAATTCTCAACAGAGGAAGCTCAAATGGCTGAAAGACATTTAAGGAATTGCTCAACATCCCTAATCATCAGGGAAATGCAAATCAAAACAACTCTGAGATACAATCTTACACCTGTCAGAATGGCTAAGATCAAGAACACTGAAGACAGCTTATGCTGGAGAGGATGTGGAGCAAGGGGAACTCTCCTACACTGTTGGTGGGAATGCAAACTTGTACAACCACTTTGGAAATCAATATGGCGATTTCTTAGAAAATTGGGGATCAATCTCCCCCAAGATCCAGCTATACCACTCTTGGGCATATTCCCAAGGAATGCTCAATCATACCACAAGGGCACATGCTCAGCTATGTTCACAGCATTATTTGTAATAGCCAGAACCTGGAAACAACCTAGATGCCCTTCAACTGAAGAATGGATAAATAAAATGTGGTACATATACACAATGGAGTACTATTCAGCAGAGAAAAACAATGACATCATGAGGTTTGCAGGCAATGGATGGAACTAGAAAAATATCATCCTGAGTGAGGTAACCCAGACTCAGAAAGACAAACATGGTATGTACTCACTCATAGGTGGATATTAGATGTAAAACAAAGGATGACTAGGCTGCTACTCACAGCTCTAGGGAGGCTACCTAGTAAAGAGGACCCTAAGAAAGACACAGGGATCGCCCAATGACAGAGAAATAGATGAGATCTACATGAGCAAACTGGACGTGAGGGGCAGGGGTAATGAAGGGCAAGGGTTGAGGGAAAGAGAGATTAGGGGAGCAGGAGATCCCAGCTGGATCAAGAACAGAGAGGGAGAACAAGGAAAAAGAGACCATGATAAACGAAGACCCCATGGGAATAGGAAGAAGCAAAGTGCTAGAGAGGTCCCCAGAAATCAACAAAGATACCTCCATAATAGACTACTGGCAATGGTTAAGAGAAAGCCCAAACTGACCTACTCTGGTGATCGGATGGCCAAACACCCTAACTGTCATGGTAGAACTCTCATCCAATGACTCATGGAAGCAGATGCAGAGATCCACGGCCAGGCCCCAGATGGAGCTCCAGGAGTCCAATTGGCAAGAAAGAGGAGGGATTGTATGAGCGAGAATTGTTGAGACCATGATTGGAAAAAGCACAGGGACAAATAGCCAAACTA